TGCGTACCATTTACATTTACTCATTTACTTCATTAGTGCGCCACTTATGACTTATCACGCCTCTCTGGACTCTTATGTCATTTTGGCAGCTCCAAAAAATATCGCACCGTGCGCTAGGACACTTGTTAGGAATAACGAAACATCAAATAAAACCTTACCTTATATGTAATATACATCGTCAGCGCAATTGTTACAGATATATAAGTGTTTAAGACATAATACACAGAAATAATGACAGGTACTGCAGTGCTCGAAATAAGAAAAAAAATTGCGTGTGTGCGTGCGTGTATGTATGTTGGGATGTAAGTGTGTATGCGTGTATGCTTGTATGCGTGTGCGTGTGTGCGTGTGCGTGTATGAGTGCACGTGTGTATGTGTGTATGCGTGGATGTGAGTACGTGTGTGTATGTGTGTATGTATGTATGTGTGTATGTGTGCATGTGTGTATGTGTGTATGTGTGTATGTGTGTATGTGTGTATGTGTGTATGTGTGTATGTGTGCATGTATGTATGTATGTGTGTATGTATGTATGTATGTATGTGTGTATGTGTGTATGTGTGTATGTATGTATGTATGTGTGTATGTATGTATGTATGTATGTATGTATGTGTGTATGTATGTGTGTATGTGTGCATCGTTGTACATTAACAAACATATCAATTCCTGTAAACACTGAACATATTAATGACTTGATTCTCCCTTGGGATCGTTATAGAATGACATGCACACATCAACATAAACTTCCTTAGTAGTATTGCGAATACTTAATTTAGTGCTAAGACAATCCCGTATAACATAAGCCGTCAAATGTCAAATGTCAATTCATTTTTTATACAGTTATTTGTTTACTAACACTTCGGCTCCGTCAACCGCCTCGCTGTGCAAGCCATCAACAGAGGTTATTACACGCCCCCTCTTCCGTCATAGCACATTGTCGTAGTCAGAATGAAGGCTGTACATGTACTCAAAAGTGCTTTAAATACCATCTCCTGCAATCTACATTTTAACAATTCTCTGGGGGAGGACCCCCCCCCCCCCCCCCCCCGCCTGTTTTTCACCCTCTCCTTTTATATTATGTATCTTGGTAGCAGAGAACAATGAACAAAAATATCGCCTTTATGCATGGCGCCCATAACATTGCAGAGCTGAGAGGTGGGGGAGCATAGGGTGTGGAGAGGGAGGCGGAGGAACCATTAAAATATTAAGTCATCCACTATACAGTAAAAAAATCCTCGTTACAAAGTCCCCGTTAAAAAGTCCCCGTTAAAAAATCCCGGCTACGACACTGGGCAGAGGGTTAATAAACATATCTAATCATATCTAATAAATTAATAATTGGCACTGCATTCCAGATAAGTTTTTTTTCAGCTTGCTGTTTCTTAAATTGACTATCCTCAAAATGTGCTGCACACAACCACTTGCTTTATGAAGCTGTTCATGCATATAGCCATCTAGATGCTTTGATCTACTGTTGATTCTCCATTTTTCACATCTACAAATATAACATTTGTAACTCATGAGGCAAAGTAAACATTCCTCAGCCGAGAGTTAATAGGATAGATACCTGAATTTTTATCTTCGCAAGACCACATATATGTAGATGGTCGAAATAGAACGCACAAAAACAACAACAACAACGTATTAAGATATTAAAGTTAATCCCTAGAGAGAGAGAGAGAGAGAGAGGACGGATGAAAGGATAGACGGCAGCAGAGCGTCCCGTTGCGCAATCATGTGTGTACGCGAGTCGCGCGATCACTGTGTGAGTGGATGTCCGGACGCGTAGCCTGTAGGGTAGGCGACCGGTTCCGGACGCGTAGCCACTGCGTAAAATTTTTAACGCGGATTCTATAGAGCATGCATGGGAAATTTTTCAAAAATACGCTATAAATTAAAAATATCGCCCCTATTAAACAAGTTAGAATAAAACAAAGAACTGAGCAATGGTTTGATAGTGAGATTAGGGAGCTTATTCTGGAAAGAGAGAAAATTACTGCTTCATAAGAGGAGTAAAGATGAAATTACATACAAGGATTTTAAATTGCTTAGAAACAAAGTTCAAAATAAAATTAAGAAAACAAAGGCTAATTACTATACGGAAAAGGTTGAGGACCACAAAAATGACCCTAAAAAATTATGGCAGACTTTAAAGAGTATGGGGTTGAAAAATAAGGGAACCAGTAACTTTGGCAGGGGAGGGCTAAAAATTGGAGAAAATATATGTTTTGACAAAGCAATTGTTGCAAATAATTTTAATAAGTATTTCACAAGTGTGGCCTCAAACTTGGTGAACGATCTACCACAAAAGGAAGGGACGTATGATGAGATTAGTCTTCAAAATTATTATTAGTAGAAAATGCATTTTCTTTTACAACGGTGGGAGAGGAAGGATGGGATAGAGTAACTAATAGTAATATAGCTCTAGTAATTATAGGCGTGCGGCAACTGTACGCAGGCTATAGTACTAGAGCTAATAGTAATATAACTTATAAGTGAGTCCGCCATCGATTTAATACATGCGTCTAAACAGAGGAATTGCTCCGACCTGTGATTGGAGGATAAAAATAGAATTCGTGACGTTTCGTTTTCGTGACTATTACACTGTGACCAGTAGGAAAGTGTACTACTACTAAGTTTCATATGGCGCGAACAATTTGAGTAGCCTAACATTTCTATAAATTCGAGCTATTATAGACACATGTCTTAGCCTTAATCTCTGTGAGTCTTGAGTTTATTGAAGGGCGATTAGCTTAAAGGGATCCTTTACTCTAGGTTCTAGGGTTATTTTCAGTTAATTTCGGTTAAAATTACGCTACATAAAATGTTTCATGGTTCAATCACCATTAGAAATAGTTTTTTTAATGTTTTATAACTAACGACTACATGCAGTTTGATTACAACGACGGTGGCGCCACTCAAAGCGCACGATCTGAAAAGTTGCACAAAACGACTTTTCAGCCAAGGGCTACAGACCGAGGGTATTTCTTATTTATTAATTTAAAAGCAAAAGGATTGTAATATCTTATAAACGACATATAGTTTCAGTTATACTATGGATAAATTTGTCCTAAAATGAACATCGTTCGGTTAAATAGCATCTAGGTATAAATATAATTGCACCTTTGTGATTAGCCTTCGGTCTGTAATGTGCAAAATATATTGGGAAATGCGCAACTTTTTCAGGGGCATATTTTCCAGTAGGGCATGACCCCGGACCCCCCCCCCCAGCAGTCAGTAGCACCCCATGCTATAAATTAAAAGCTTGGAGAACCCTGGTCTTCTTGTTATTTTTAAAATATTATTTTGAATTTATTTCACTGCACAATTTTCGAATCTACAGTTTATTGCACCTGTTACATTTACAACTGCTTGATTCATACTCGGTTGCACATTAATGGGTCAATCAATAGCCTAATTAGTAGTCTAATAATTAATAATTATGAGTAACTAGTTGTCATCTCTGTGTGTATGTACAGCAAGCATCTGTTGTCTGTCTAGAATCGTTGACCCGGAGGACAGCG